CAGACCGACAGGACATTGACGCAGAGGGAACAGGACCGACTGGACATTGACGCAGAGCAACAGGACCGCGCTGGACATTGACGCAGAGCAACAAGGCAGACAGGATATTGACGCAGGGCAACAGGACCGACTGGACATTGACGCAGAGCAACAGGACCACCTGGACATTGACGCAGAGCAACAGGCAGACAGGATATTGACGCAGAGCAACAGGACCGACTGGACATTGACGCAGAGCAAACAGGACCGCTGGACATTGACGTAGAGCAACAAGGCAGACATGATATTGACGCAGAGCAACAGGACCGACTGGACATTGACGCAGAGCAACAGGACCGACTGGACATTGACGCAGAGCAACAGGACCGACTGGACATTGACGCAGAGCAACAGGACCGACTGGACATTGACGCAGAGCAACAGGACCGACTGGACATTGACGCAGAGCAACAGGACCGCCTGGACATTGACGCAGAGCAACAAGGCAGACAGGATATTGACGCAGAGCAACAGGACCGACTGGACATTGACGCAGAGCAACAGGACCGACTGGACATTGACGCAGAGCAACAGGACCGACTGGACATTGACGCAGAGCAACAGGACCGACTGGACATTGACGCAGAGCAACAGCAGCACAGGACCGATCCACTGGACATTGACGCAGAGCAACAGGACCGACTGGACATTGACGCAGAGCAACAGGACCGACTGGACATTGACGCAGAGCAACAGGACCGACTGGACATTGACGCAGAGCAACAGGACCGACTGGACATTGACGCAGAGCAACAAGGCAGACCACACCCAGCTACCGACACATAACACATATGCACGAGCGAGTGTCCTCACGAAGCGCCACCAAGAAAATGTTCTGGACGAACTAGAAAGACTGACCAGGTCCTCACTGACACGTTTACTCCACGACTGAAAATATTTACGGTCTAGGGGTGAGAAAGGAGGGGGACTAAAGTGATTTGGTGCACGATGGTGTTAACAGACGCTATACCTGGCATGTGTTTCCTCTGTGAATGCGCTACCGTTTTTTAAACTTAAAATATTAATCTGCAATCTTGCTTTCGTGAGGCAATGTGCAATATATCAGGTAACTTGCAACGGAGGAGATAAGGCGGATAAGGAGATAAGATTCCACATTTTAAGTAATGTGGAACTGTAGTAAGATTCGCACTCTGGTCCGCCCCCAGCTCTTCCCTTCAGGGCTTTGCCAGTCTGCCTCACTGATTCTCTCGGTCGCTGGAGCCCAGAGAAATGTGGTGTCGAATCCTTCGCTTCCCTCCCGATTGCGCTCCTGCCTTGTGCTTAATATTTTCCCCTGGCGGCGGTTCTCTCTATAATGTGTTTTATTACTCAATAGACTCAAGTGTTGAGGGAGTTACTCCGAGGCCGGGAGCCGAGGAGAAGGTGTTCCTTGTTTTGCACATGTTCGGAGGAGAGGTGTGGGGGGGGGGGTGAGAATGGTCGTATTGAACATTGGTAAGAGAGAGAATTCTTGGGCACAAGGATGGGAAACTATTATTGGGCTGTGAAATGTGAGGAGAAAGGTGTGTGTAGATGAGTTTTGCACAGCCTGGGTGACAGTGTTCGTGTTTGTGGTGCAGTAAATTGTGCTAATTCGGGTTTTGGAAGGACGGAATAGTAATTTGTTATGGGTTTCGCACTAAAAACTAAGTTAAAGTAGAAATGGAAAGCGTGAAAAATAGTTATACGTGAATTTGTAAAGCACTTCCTCCCTTGCTGTTCCCTTGTGACCCCCCCCCCCTCCTCTCTCTCCTCTCCTCTCCTCTCCTCTCCTCTCCTCTCCTCTCCTCTCCTCTCCTCTGCCCAACTACTTGGACGGTAGAGCAACGGTTTCGCTTCATGCAGGTCGGCGTTCAATCCTAGACCGTCCAAGGGGTTTGGCACCATTCCTTACCCCCTCCCCCGGTCCCATATCAAATCCTTATCCTGATCCCTTCCTAGTGCTATACAGTCATAATGAACTTTCTCCTGATAGTTCCCTTTCCTCCTCCTCCTCCGCTACCATAACACCATACCATCCACATCACTCTCCCTGCCACCCTCACCACCACCACTACCACCACCACTACCACCACTACCACCACCACTATACAACCATTACCCTCACCACCACCACCACCACTATACAACCATTACCCTCACCACCACCACCACCACCACCATTATACAACCGTTACCCTCACCGCAACCATCAGCACCACACCACCACCCCGTCACAATGATTCCACCACAGTACCCTCAACTTTACCACCTCCACCACCACCACCACCACAGCACCACCACAGCACCACCACCACCCCCTCACCACCATCATCCTCTCTATGATTCCACCAAAGCACCACCACCACCTCAGCACCACCAGTGGTAACCACAACATCACCACCACCTCACTACCATCATCACCACCACCCTCACTACCATCATCACCACCACCACCCTCACTACCATCATCACCACCACCACCCTCACAAACCACATCACCACCACCCTCACAACCATCATCACCACCACCACCTCACTACCATCACCACCACCACCTCACTACCATCATCACCACCACCACCTCACTACCATCACCACCACCACCTCACTACCATCACCACCACCACCTCACTACCATCACCACCACCACCTCACTACCATCATCACCACCACCACCCTCACTACCATCATCACCACCACCACCCTCACTACCATCATCACCACCACCACCCTCACTACCATCATCACCACCACCACCCTCACTACCATCATCACCACCACCCTCACTACCATCATCACCACCACCACCTCACTACCATCACCACCACCACCTCACTACCATCATCACCACCACCACCTCACTACCATCACCACCACCACCTCACTACCATCACCACCACCACCCTCACTACCATCACCACCACCCTCACTACCATCACCACCACCCTCACTACCATCACCACCACCCTCACTACCATCACCACCACCCTCACTACCATCACCACCACCACCTCACTACCATCACCACCACCACCTCACTACCATCACCACCACCACCTCACTACCATCACCACCACCCTCACTACCATCACCACCACCACCTCACTACCATCACCACCACCACCTCACTAACATCACCACCACCACCCTCACTACCATCACCACCACCACCTCACTACCATCACCACCACCACCTCACTACCATCATCACCACCACCTCACTACCATCATCACCACCACCTCACTACCATCACCACCACCACCTCACTACCATCATCATCACCACCTCACTACCATCATCACCACCACCTCACTACCATCACCACCACCACCTCACTACCATCATCACCACCACCACCCTCACTACCATCACCACCACCACCTCACTACCATCACCACCACCACCTCACTACCATCACCACCACCACCTCACTACCATCATCACCACCACCTCACTACCATCATCACCACCACCTCACTACCATCACCACCACCACCTCACTACCATCACCACCACCACCTCACTACCATCATCACCACCACCCTCACTACCATCATCACCACCACCTCACTACCATCATCACCACCACCTCACTACCATCACCACCACCACCTCACTACCATCACCACCACCACCTTACTACCATCATCACCACCACCACTCACTACCATCACCACCACCACCTCACTACCATCACCACCACCACCTCACTACCATCACCACCACCACCTCACTACCATCACCACCACCACCCTCACTACCATCACCACCACCACCCTCACTACCATCACCACCACCACCCTCACTACCATCACCACCACCACCTCACTACCATCACCACCACCACCTCATTACCATCATCACCACCACCACCCTCACTACCATCACCACCACCACCTCACTACCATCACCACCACCACCTCACTACCATCACCACCACCACCTCACTACCATCACCACCACCACCCTCACTACCATCACCACCACCACCTCACTACCATCACCACCACCCTCACTACCATCACCACCACCCTCACTACCAACACCACCACCACCCTCACTACCATCACCACCACCTGACTACCATCACCACCACCACCTCACTACCATCACCACCACCACCTCACTACCATCACCACCACCACCTCACTACCATCACCACCCTCACTACCATCACCACCACCACCTCACTACCATCATCACCACCACCTCACTACCATCATCACCACCACCTCACTACCATCACCACCACCACCTCACTACCATCACCACCACCAACTCACTACCATCACCACCACCACCTCACTACCATCATCACCACCACCTCACTACCATCATCACCACCACCTCACTACCATCATCACCACCACCTCACTACCATCATCACCACCACCTCACTACCATCACCACCACCACCTCACTACCATCATCACCACCACCACCTCACTACCATCACCACCACCACCTCACTACCATCACCACCACCACCTCACTACCATCATCACCACCACCTCACTACCATCATCACCACCACCTCACTACCATCATCACCACCATTTCCACTAAACTCAACCAGAGAGAGCTACTTATATTAGCAGCAAGCCACTTCACACTCTCATAGAGAAGAGATATTTGAGGAGAGATGACAAGTATCGCTCAGTGTTAATCAGGCAGGACATGTTTAAGGAGGAAAGGAAGGCAGCAAAGAGACTGATGGAAGAAAAGGAAAAGATAAATGCCAGGAGACCAGAAAATGTCACAAACAGTTGTCAGATACAATGAGAATTGTCTAAAGGTTAGGAAAAACCAGCCACAGTGGCAAGGGAAACAAGAGATGAAACTCTAATTCTAAAGAGCTTTAACTACAGGAAAATAGCCTGGATAAATAGGGACCCCCATTTCTCATCAAGAAGGATATGAGAAATAGAGTGAAACACTGGAAAACATGGCAAACAAACACTTCTTTAACCGGCCAGAGTAGGAGGACGGGGCCCGCCCGCAACACTAGATCTGACAGATGTTGAACAAAAATAGATATATGAGATGCCTCTAAGAGCTAGTGACCAATGCATTGTCATGCTTGAATACATAGTGGAACTGTAAGGAGTTGGTTACACAAAAAACCTCTTAAAGAAGACATTACAGATGGGTAATGTCTTAAATTGACGGGTAATTGCACTAAATTACAGACTGGTGTCATTAAGTAAGGTGCTGGAGACAGTAATCAGGCCGTAAATGATGGAGCATCTGGAGAACCCAATATATAACAAAAGTACTCAATACACAAAAATATAAAAAAACACGATATAATAAAATGCACAAAAAAAATAACAAAAAGCACATGATGGATTTTCAAACTTGATTAAGTTCCTTGATAGGATAACTGAAATAAGACGGAAAAAAGGAGCACTTGGGAGATTGTATTTTTCTTAGACTGTCAAAAAACATTCGACACTGTTCCTCCATAAAGACTGGTGTACAGGTCTGAAAGGCAGGCTGGGATAACTGGGAAAACACTGAACTGTGTAATGGAGTACTTGAGGGGCAGAAAGCAAAGTGTCACTGCCAGAGAGGAGGCTACATCCTAGAGGAATGAAACGCGTGGGGTCCCACAAGGCTCGGTCCTGGAATTGCTGCTGCTTCATTTATATACGAACCACCTGCCCGAGAGAGCGATCCCATTCATATAAATATTTGCAGATGACGAAAAAAATTGAAGGATGTAAAAAATAAAGGACTACAGGTAGTTAAAGGAGGAACTAGACAAGCTCCTGGAGTGGTCAAATAAATGGTTGGCGGAATT